GGTTCACACATTATACATGTTCCCGGCTTCCAGCCTCCCCATTGCGCGTAACGATACACATTTGCAGATTCTATGAAGCCCGGAAACATAGCCACTTTACAATCGTTAACAAAATCCCCCTTCGTTAACAGAATGAGGCCCGGAGTACCTAGGATCTTACAAGTAATTTCTTCGCTAGATTTTGGCCCAGCCATGACGTTTAATCGCATCTCACTTGTGCCTCAGCACCCGGACAGCGCCCTGCCGCAGCTCCATACTAGCTTTTCCAGCCTCATTCTGAAAGCTCCGGTTACAGGATACTGAAAGATCTATCTGCCATGGCTGGTTGAAAGTTTCTCTTTTTTTATTATTTATTTTATTTTTATTCGTTTTCACGTCTTATTCTTTATTCTTACTCTTTATTCCTTTTTATTTTTTTTCTAGCTTTTATCCTTGGCTATTCTTACGTCGGAAAGCCGTGATTTCTTTATACCTCTTTGAGTTAATCGTCCGTTCTCCCAAATTTCTTTCCTTTTCGAGAAATTGGTGCGGTTTTCACTCCAAGGTTATAAGCTTATCCGGTCCATGGTGCGTAAGCTTTTATAAGCCTAAAAGACAGTTAGTTCTATGTCGGATAGTTCGGTATCTAATATTTGTACCTTCGCTCTGTAGCCCCACATTGGGCGCCATGTCGCGTGCACGTCCCATTTACCGGTTCCGTTAGAACTTATGAGACGGTGCATCCATCAGGGTTCTAGGGGATGTCGGCGAGTTTTATCGTATCAGACCCGGGTTTGGACCACCTAATTAGAATTGTGTCTTTTATTTTAAAGGTGAAATGACTTGCACGAATAGTAATCCCCAGAGTAGTCCACTTCTTTTAAACTCGTTACCTTTTGGTTAAGATACTAGAGAGAAGTCTGGAGGCAAGCCAAGCCTCTCAGCAATTTTTTGGATTATCTGGATTAATTGCGCCTCTAACAGCTTATGTGGGAGGTTGGTAACTATAAAATGATTTATGCTAGTTGATCAGGCTAACATAAGTTTTATCAATTTACTTAATTAATCCAACCCCTCCAGCTGGTAGAGACTTTTTCAACCTGCAATCAGAGCCAAAAATAACCTCTAATATTCTGGTTTTATCGCCCTTAAGACAACTCGTTACTCGCAAGGAGGGGGGAGTTAAACTCTCCTTATCTTAAGGTTTCTTTATATTATTTTATTATAAACTGTAAAGTAAGTCCTGATAATTCAGAGACCTATGATCGACATGCTTACCTCTGTGCAATTATGGCCAGGGCTCCAAACGTGAAGCTTTAGAGAAAACCTGAAAGAATCAGGATTATGTTTCTTTTTCAAAAAAGGTTTATTACAAAATCAAAAATACAAAAATGGGTAAATAAAAAACAACTGCTATCCCCCACGGAGGGATTAGTTCAAAATGATTAAATAAGAGTTAGTTTACACTAGCTCCTGTCTTCTGAGAATCTTCCGTCCATTCTCCTTCCAACAGCTTGTCTAAGCTCTGCTTCTCTCCAAAAAACTGCCTGTCATCCCCCATCCAGCAGGACGGGGGATGACCCCTCCAAATCTGCTCTGTCTCTTCTTGTCGCCTGCCCCAGCTCTCTCTCTCAATGTCCATCTGCTGTTCAGAGCTGTTCTTATATACCCTTCCTGGACCAGCTTAAGGTCATGGGGTCATTTACCAGACACACACTTTGTAGCTCAACACAAAACATTTGGTGTCATTTTCACTACATGCAGCATTCTTCTTAACACAGGTCATTACATCATCTTTTGCAGTATTCTTCAGTTTCTCTCCAATGTTCCTGAGAGGGCTTCTGGATCTGATGGGCTTGTCTTCACTCTGTTCTCCTCCAATCCCATCTTTCCAAGCCAGGGGTGGATCCAGGGGTGGGGCCAGCCAACCTGACCTTTTCCCCAGTTCTGTCCTCTTGTCCCTGTGACCCTTGTGTGACCCTTGTTTCTGACCACAGTTCTTTGACCTGCAGCCCAGCTCCTGTCGGCTGGCTGATTTTGCTCACACAAGCCAGTCGGGTGTGGCTCACCTTTTGACCCCGTACTTGCCACTGTCTTTGGCATGTGGGGACTCGCAACACCTGGCCAGGTGAGAGACATAGTCCCTCCACCGTGTCCTGGGTCTACCTTTAGGTCTCCTCCCGGTTAGATGTGCCCAGAAAACCTCACCAGGGAGGCGTCCAGGAGGCATCCTGACCAGATGCCCGAGCCACCTCAACTGGCTCCTCTCGACGTGCAGGAGCAGCGGGTCTACTCCGAACCCCTCCCGAATGACCGAGCTTCTCACCCTATCTCTAAGGGAGAGCCCAGCCACTCTGCGGAGAACACTCATTTTGGCCGCTTGTATCCGCAATCTCGTTCTTTCGGTCACTACCCAAAGCTCATGACCATAGGTGAGGGTAGGAACGTAGATCCACCGGTAAATCGAGAGCTTCGCCTTCTGACTCGGCTCTCTCTTCACCACGACAGACCGGTACAACACCAGCATCTCTGCAGATGCAGCACCAATCCACCTATCGATCTCACGCTCCAGTTTTCCCTCACTCATGAACAAGACCCCGAGATACTTAAACTCCTCCACCTGGGGCAGGACCTCATTCCTTACCAGAAGAAGGCATTCTACCCTTTTCTGAATCAAGACCATGGTCTCAGATTTAGAGGAGCTGATTCTCATCCCAGCTGCTTCACACTCGGCTGCGAACCGCTCCAGCAAAAGCTGAAGATCACGTTCTGATGAAGCCAACAGGACCACATCATCTGCAAAAAGCAGAGACCTGATCCTCAGGCCACCAAAACGGATGCCCTCCACACCTTGGCTGCACCTAGAAATCCTGTCCATAAAAGATATGAACAGAATCGGTGACAAAGGGCAGCCTTTGCAGAGTCCAACTCTCACTGGGAACGAGCCCAACTTACTGCCGGCAATGAGGACCAAGCTCTGACACGGGTCATACAGGGACCTAACAGCCCGTATCAGAGGGCCTGGTACCCCATACTCCCGGAGTACCCCCCACAGGGCCCCCCGAGGGACGCGGTCAAACGCCTTCTCCAAATCCACAAAACATATGCAGACTGGTTGGGCAAATTCCCACGCACCCTCCAGGATCCCCCTAAAGCCGGGCGTACACTGTGCGACTTTTTCACTTTTTTGAGCCGATTTTCCAGTCGTGCGAGAATCCACGACATCGGGGCGAGTTTTGCGCCGAGCGGTCGTGTAGTGTACAGGGGGTTACGAGAGGCGATTAACACCACGTGACCAGCTGTCGATCAGCAGTCGTGAGGTCGCACGGACTTCTGGCGTGTTTAAAATTTCGCTCGTCCGTCGTGAGGATATCGCACTGTTGAAGTGGCGCTGCGAGCAGCTGCGACCCAAAAAGTATCAGAACCGCTCACGGCGCATGCGCAATCCTGCATCAACGTCGCTCGCTATTTCCCTAATAACACACGCTGTTCGTTTTTGTTTCTACACGTTTTTTTACTCACAAAGATTGTCAAGAAAACGTGTTTGTCGTGTTCATGTCAAATTAAACTGATCACAAAACACAGATTTACTTTCTTTATTTCGTTTTCCTCATCCAACTCCCATAAATCCCTGTGTCCTCCTGCAGCACTCCTGAAGGACAACAGGCAAAACAAGACAAAAAAGTCTGACATGTTGAGTAAAAACTGCTATTTTTAGCATATTTTTAGGGCCAACGTGTTGCTACCAGACGTACAGTGTGAGCAGTCAGGTCGCATGCGAGAACTGGGTCGTGCAGTGTGAGCACATGACTCGTGAGATCTGCTCTGCGAGGAAGTCGTACAGTTTGAGCTGAAGCTGAACGCTGCGAGTGAAAAAGTCGCACAGTGTATGCCCGGCTTAAGGGTATAGAGCTGGTCCAGTGATCCACGGCCAGGACGAAAACCACATTGCTCCTCCTGAATCTGAGGTTCAACAATCCCACGGACCCTCCTCTCCAGAACCCCTGAATAGACCGTACCAGGAAGGCTCAGGAGTGTGATCCCCCTGTAGTTGGAACACACCCTGCGGTCCCCCTTTTTAAATAAGGGAACCACCACCCCGGTCTGCCAGTCCAGTGGGACTGCCCCCGTTGTCCACGCGATATTGCAGAGCCGCATCAGCCAACGCAGCCCCACAACATCCAGAGCCTTAAGGAACTCTGGGCGGATCTCATCCACCCCCGGAGCCTTGCCATAGAGGAGCTTTTTAACCACCTCAATGACCTCAGCACCAGAGATTTGAGAGGCCAAACCAAAAGTCCCCAGACTCTGCTTCCGCACTGGAAGACGTGTCGGTGGGATTGAGGAGGTCTTCGAAGTATTCTGCCCACCGATCCACAACGTCCTGAGTAGAGGTCAGCAGCACACCGTCCCCACTATAGATAGTGTTGGTAGCTGCCTCTGGAGTCCCACAGGCCAAAAAGACCTGATAGGACTCTTTCTTCAGCTTGACAACATCCCTAACCGCCGGTGTCCACCAGCGGGTTCGGGGATTACCACCACGACAGGCACCGACGATCCTGCAACCGCAGCTTCTGTCGGCCGCCTAAATAATGGAGGCACGGTCCACTCAGACCCAATGTTCCCCGCCTCCCCTGGAACATTTAGGAAGTTCTGTCGGAGGTGGGAATTGAAGCTCCTTCTGACAGGAGACTCTTCTAGAAGTTCCCAGCAGACCCTCGGGATACGTTTGGGCTGTTTTTTCCCTTTCTTTATATTATTATTCACAACTTTGACTTTTCCCATTCTCTTTTTTTTTTCATTAAAAAATTGTTTGTGAAGCGCCTCGTGATTTTTACAGTGCTCTAGAAAAGATTGTTTCTTCTACTTCAGAGCAGCTGCCTGTGTTCAGTGTTTGAACAGCTTTTAAATGAAATAAAAGCAGAATCAAATGGATAAACAGCTTTTCTTTTGAATACTGAAGTTTTAATAAATCTGTATAAATGCACTTATGGTATGTTTTATTATCGGTGCATGCTCACCTCCTTGTTTCCTCTCCGTGTATTTACCAGAAACTGGGATCACACCAGACTTGCTCCAGCTTTTATTTCTCCGTCTCTGATTATTTCTGCTCAGCTGAATAAACCTGCTGACAGGATGTCCTCCCCGCTATCAGAGACAATTAAGGCTGGACTCTGGACCTGCTGATTACAGGATCAGCCTCCTCACGAAGAAAAAAACACCAGGAGCACAAAAAAAAAAAATCCAGGATTCCCCTCTCAGTCTGAGTGAAAGTGAACTATTTAACTCATACTTTTATTTATTAGTAAATAACTAATCATTCATCAGTTTTGGTTGAAGTGATTACAGCTGATTTCTGCTTGTTACCTCCCTGTTTCTCTGAGCTCAGACCGGCTCTGCTGCACATTTATGTGGCAGTGTAAGCGTCATCAGGCTTCTGGAGAGCCTGATGAGCTGCTGCAGGTGATTCAAACTCCCGTCTCAAGCTAGCCCATTAGTTGTACTCCTGACACATCTACAACATGTAAAAAAGGTTCTTGCTTGAAAGATAAAACCAGACGATGCTGTTACTCTCCAGTACAACTGTTACGTACCGTATGGAGTCCATCTGGTGAATTAAAAGGATTATTGTTAACCATTTCTTTTCAGATTGTTAAATTGTTGCTTTAGCAAACAGACAAGTTTACGTTATTGTAAATCATTCCTACAATAAAATGTATTCCACGTTGTTCCTAATTGCTGGCTAAAGCAACAGTAAATATTCTGCACAGAAATCTCTTCAGTCCAGTGCCACCAGAGGTGCTCCACAGCATATCAATCAAATCAAAGATACTTTATTAATCCCAGAGGGAAATTAGAGTTTCAGTACACACAATTTAGAGATCAGACATACATGGGCAAGACACATGACAAGAATTGGTGACTGTGGTCATTCGCAACCCTGAGTCGCGCTACCTTAATAGAGATAAGAGGGTTACATGAGGATTGGTTCAGGTGGAGGGAAAAAAGGCACTTCAGAGTTACCCTCCACCAGGAGGGCAGCTTTGCTCTGCAAAAAAAAAACACCTCAGATATGCAACAGACTTCAGACAACACATTATAGATACTCCAATAGGAGGGGGGGGGGGCTGGGATCCTGTTTCCCCCAGCGAGAGCAGCCATCTACGGCGCTCAGCCACTGTAGCCACAGGTGGGAGGGAGATCTCGGGAGAAGCGCATTGACTCCTGCAGGTTGATGACCTCGCCAGGCTGAGGTCCACCAATCCAAAGGTGTGTGTGTGTGTGTGTGGGGGGGGGGGGGGGGGGTAGGTCGGGTTTTCACAGCATCTGTCTGCATTCCTTCGTGGGGTTTTAGTTGCTTGCCGCTCAAGGCTACCAGGGCGTCAGATTCGGATAACAAGAATTTGTTTGGGTAGGCTGAGAATTTTCCTCTCTGCCTTCAGTCTTGAAACTGATCATTTCCAGTCCTTCAGTGAAGCCAATTTTGGGTTTTTAAACTTGTCCATACCGTCCGGTGACCCTCTTCGAGATGACATCCATTTTGCGCACTAATACCGGTATCACAGCTAGAACATTGTCCAGCTTACGATTCACCTCGAGTAACGTCCCAGTCTGAGAAGTCTCCACACGGGCGGTGCTTTCCGTGGGTGCGGGTCGCCCTCCAATCGCTCCCGTCTTCCCAAATTTCCAGAAAACCAGATATCCTCCCACTCCAATCAGGAGAAATCCAGTGATCACCAGACCAAATATCCACACATCTTCGACCTCCTCAATGGACAGCTGGGAGAGGCATATGATCTTCCATTCCTTCCAGGAATCCAGCATATATCCCAACGGGTGTGTCCCGTGGGCATGTGGGAGCCCCGTGCTCCGTTCTCATTGTTGAAAAAATCTTATCGATTGCTTTGAATGACCAATTTATCAAATCCATGGTTAGTAAAAATAGTTTTTCAGAAGAAATTCAGAGAAGCGCTCTGTGGGCAGACAGGACTAAGAGCCTTGGGGAAAAAAAGATAAGGGAGCGAAAAGAGAAGCGTCTGTACTCCGCGAGTGCCTGAGAATTTTAGGGACAGATCTATGAGCTTACCTGGTCTTCAGTAAAAACAGCAGGCTAGCGCTGACGTAGCCATCTCTGCAGGTGTTTCGTCTGCTTGAAAACTCTTTTGTCTTGTTAGCTTTTACCCAACACCGCTGACACTGGCTCTCATATTTTACCTGCTGTTTTAAACGTACGCCCCCTAAGGTGGTAGAGAACGAGGGAGTCCAGCTCCTGTGGGACTTCCAGATCCAGACTGACTACATGGTGATGGAGAACCAACCGGACAGCTAAGATACCGCAGAACCCTCAAGCTCTCAGGCCTCTGGAGGACCCGAGCTCGGAGAGGTGAGTCCACCCATGGAAGGTGGGATGGGGATTAGATAATGTGTGTGTTGGGTCTCCCAGCACAGTGGTTCCCAACTTTTTTTCCATGAGGACCCGTTGCCTGTGTCCAGGTCTTTTGTACAGATCCAAAGTGTTTATAATGCTGATTTAGCTTTCTTTACCCCAAAATCTGCTTCTTCTCTGCGATGGACCGTTTGTTTATGCGGTTTGTTTACACTCGTGAGGCCATCAATATGTGCTACCCAGAATGCAGCGCGTCATCACGTGTGATCCCAAGCAGCCTCCACCTCAGTCTTTTCCATCATATTTAAAGGGACATTATGTAAGTTTGACAGCCAAAACATGTATAGAAATAATAAATGTCTTCTTCATACATTCTCCTGCAATGCCCTGGTCCTGTAGAATGAGCCCTGGCATTTTTACTGTGATTGCCTGTTTTTCTGTAAAATCACAGAAAAAGAGAGATGCTCGGGTCGAGCAGGCTGCTTCATGTGCGTTCACGCTCAGGCATCGCCCGTAGCATTTGCTATCCGTAGCTTTAGCAGCAGAGAGTGAGGTAGTGCCACTTTGTCGCTGTTCCTAACGCCTAGTGACAAAGCTAGTGTGGCACGGTGGAGAAACGAAGGCCCGGGCGGGATTCGATCCCCAGACTCCCGGGTGAGAGTCATACGCTCTAACCAATCAGCCAAAGGGACATCCCCTTGGCCAAGTAGCCAGGGCGCATTATCAATCGGGACACTGTGACAGGACGCTCACACTGTCACACTAGCTACATTTCTGAGCACCCTTAGCTACTTTCTGTAGAACTTTCTTCTAGATATTTCCTACAAATTAGCAACAAAATAGCCATTTTCGCTCTGAACCATTCTCTGAACGTTGTTTCAGCTGTCATCAAGGATATAAATGTTACAGATACAAAAGACATCACCAGCGCTTTATCTCACCTAGAAAGATGTCGGACTCTCGTGCAGAAGACCCTGGTTTGATTCTGGATGTGAACATAGTTTATTTAGAGTTTCTTTTTTACATTAATGGTATATTTTTTTACAGTAAGATGCCCAAATTTTTATTTGAGACTCGCCGAACGGCATTGAATTCACAGATAAAAAAGATGTGGGTTCAACTTTCATTTTGGAACAATTTTTCAAGCAAGGGAAGGGAATGATCTGAGCATGCAGGGAGACTGACCCATCATAAACCTTTGTCGGCTGTGCTGAAGAGAAAGGTACAGAACCACATTATTTAATTAATTAGCTGTGAGTACTCCTGTCCTCTGTCCTCCGGGCCACACACACACACACACACACACACACACACACACACACACACACACACACACACGGGACTGTCTCGGCTGTTATTTTCGTTAAGGAGTGTGCACGTACAGCATGCGCGCCTCGTGCAAGAGCCTACTATTGAAGCTGCCGTTACGCTTTTGGCCTGAGGGAACGGGACGAGGTGACGATGCGAACGAGATCTGTGAGGTAGTGAGGGGCGAGGTTATGGATGGCCTTGAAGGTGAGAAGGAGAATCTTGTAGTTAATCCTGATGTGCACTGGTAGCCAATGGAGTTGTTTGAGGATGGGGGTGATGTGATGAGAGATGGGAGTTTTAGTGACGATGCGTGCTGCTGCATTCTGAACCAACTGGAGCTTACGGAGGGTTTTCTGAGGGAGACCTGAGAGAAGAGAGTTGCAATAATCGATACGTGATGTAACCAGACTATGAACAAGAATAGAAGTAGAGTGGACATCAAGGGAGGGGCGAAGACGATTAATGTTACGAAGATGGAAATAAGCTGACCGTGTGATGCTATTGATATGAGATTGGAAGGATAGTGTGCTGTCTAGGATGACACCCAGACTCTTGACCTGGGGAGAGGGGGAAACTGAAGTATCATCAACTGTGAGAGAGAAACTGTCAAATTTTGAGAGGGTGTTCTTGGTACCAACCAAAAGAAGTTCTGTTTTGTCTGTATTTAATTTCAGGAAGTTCGAACTGAACCAGGATTTTATTTCTTGAAGGCAGGTGATGAGGGAGGAAGTGCAGAATTTGGCTTACTGGACAAATAGAGCTGGGTGTCATCCGCGAAGCAGTGAAGCTGAATATTGAATCTGCGGAAGATATTGCCAAGGGGAAGGATGTATATAATGAAAAGGAGGGGCCCCAGGACAGAGCCCTGGGGTACACCAGAAGAGACAGAAGAGGGCTGTGAGCGGGAGGATTTGATAGTAATGAAATGAGTGCGACCTGATAGGTAGGATTGAAACCACTGAAGTGGGATGCTAGCAATGCCGATGGATGATAACCTATGGAGGAGAATGGAATCAGATATTGTGTCAAAGGCCGCACTCAGATCAAGGAGGACCAGGATGGATAGACCGGAATCAGCACCAATGAGGAGATCATTAGTTATTTTGAGGAGGGCTGTTTCTGTGCTGTGAAGTGGGCGGAAACCGGACTGGAAGGGTTCATAGAAGGAGTTTAGTGTCAGATGGGTGTGGAGCTGGGCAGCGACTATTTTTTCTAAAACTTTGGAGACAAAGTTTTTAACCTGTGCTTCAAAATAAAAGCACCTGTGCTGCTTTCATCTAAGTGGCTCCAAACCAAACATAATCAAAATGTGTCAAAGCACAAAACCAGCTTCAGTTCATCATCATCTCTGATTTTCAGTGTGTGTGTGTGTGTGTGTGTGTGTGTTGGTGGCGCTGCAGCTGCTGTGATGTTTGGAAGTGAAAGTAAACAAATTAATAACTAACGACCTCACTATCCACAGTA